GAACTCCTGACCTCAAGTGATCTGTCTATCTCAGCCTCCAAAGGTGCTGGGATTGCAGGTGTGAGCCACCACACCCGCCCTTTTTTCTTTGTTCTTAGAGGAAAAAAGTGCCCAACTTTGGGTTTAAGGCTAATCTCTCCACCTTATGCTTCAATTCAATCTCTCTACTTTATCTTCCCAAACTTTCTGCATTGCTTTACCCTCTGTCTTTCTCCCTCCCTACCAGCAACTTCGCTGTGGCCTTAAAACATGCCAGGCTTCTCCCATATTTAAAGAAAGAACATGCAGGCTGGGCACCGTGGCTCACACCTGTAATTCTAGCACTTTGGGAGACCCAGGTGGGCGTATAGCCTGAGGTCAGGAGTTCAAGACCAGACTGGCCAACATGGTGAAACCCGTCTTTACTAAAAATACAAAAATTAGCTGGGCGTAGGGACAGTTGCCTGTAATCTCAGCTACTCGGGAGGCTGAGGCAGGAGAATCACTTGAACCTGGGAGGTGGAGGTTGTGGTGAGCTGAGATCACACCATTGCACTCCAGCCTGGGTGACAAGAGCAAGACTTCATCTCAAAAAAAAAAAAGAACATGCCTTCTGATCAGTTGTGAATAAATAAATATTTTAAAAGCACAGGCTGGGCACAGTGGCTCACACCTGTAATCCCAGCACTTTGGGAAGCCAAGGTGGGCAGATCAAGAGGTTAGGAGATCGAGATCAGCCTGGCCAATATGATGAAACCCCCGTCTCTACTAAAAATACAAAAATTAGCCAGGCGTGGTGGCAGGAGGTGGAAGGTGCAGTGAGTGAAGATCACGCCACTGCACTCGAGCCTGGGCAACAGAGCGAGACTCTGTCTCAAAAAAAAAAAAAGAAAGAAAAGTAAAAGAAATAACTTGAGCCTGGGTAGTTCATAAAGAAGAGGTTTGGGCTGGGCACAGTGACTCACGCCTGTAATACCAGCACTTTGGGAGGCCAAGGCAGGCAGATCACCTGAGGTCGGGAGTTCGAGACCAGCCTGACCAATATGGAGAAACCCCATCTCTACAAAAATACAAAAATCAGCCAGCCATGGTGGTGCGTGCCTGTAATCCCAGCTACTTCAGAGGCTGAGGCAGGAGAATTGCTTTAATCCAGGATGCAGAAGTTGCAGTGAGCCGAGATCACGCCATTGCACTGCAGCCTGGGTGACAGAGTGAGACTCTGTCTCAAAAAAATAAATAAATAGTGTCTTCCTAAGTTCTGCAAACCATTCTAGTGTTGACAAAAAGAGCCAAACTCTATGTAGTATTTGAAGGGATGTATTCTGAGCCAAATGTGAGGACCATGACACAGCCTCAGGAGGTCCTTATGTGGTTCACAGCCACATGTGCCCAAGATGGTTGCATTACAGCTTAATATTAGGGGGACAGAAGTTACAGGCAGATATCAATCAATACATATGGAGTGCCGGCTCAGTGGCTCATGCCTGTAATCCCAACAATTTGGGAAGCTGAGATGGGAGGATTGCTTGAAGCCAGGAGTGTGAGACCAGTCTGGCCAACATGGCCAAACCCTGTCTCTACTAAAATGCAAAAAATTAGCTGGGCATGGTGGCACGTGCCTGTAGTCCCAGCTACTTGGGAGGTAGAGGCAGGAGAATCACTTGAACCCGGGAGGTGAAAGCTGCAGTGAGCCAAGATCACACCACTGCACTCTGCCTGGGCAACAGAGCAAGACTGTCTCAACAACAACAACAACAACAACAACAAAATGTGAGGTATACATTGGTCCAGAAAAGCAGGACAACTCAAAGTGGGGAGGGGGAAGTGCTTCCAGGTCATAAGTGGATTCAAAGATTTTCTGATTGGCAATTGGTTGAAAGAGTTATTATATAAAGAGATCTGGAATAAAAGTTCTTATTATGTAGATGAAGTCTCATAGGTGGCCACCCTTAGAGGCAATAGGTGGCAAATGTTTCCTACTTAGACTTTTAAAAGGTGCTAGATAGGCTGGGCATGGTGGCTTATGCCTGTAATCCCAGCACTTTGGGAGGCCGAGGTCGGTGGATCAGCTGAGGTCAGGAGTTTGAGACCAGCCTGACCAACATGGTGAAACCCCATCTCTACTAAGGCAGAAGAATCGCTTGAACTGGGGAGGCAGAGGTGGCAGTGAGCTGAAATGGTGCCATTGCACTCCAGCCTGGGCAACAAGAGCGAAACTCTGTCTCAAAAAAATAAAAGAGGTTTGATTGGCTCAGTTCTGCAGGCTTTACAGGAAGCATGATGCTGGCATCTGCTCAGCTTCCAGGGAAGTCTCAGGGAGCTTACAATCATGTAGGAAGGTGAAGGAGGGGCACGCACATCACATAGCAAAAGCAGGATTTAGAGAGGGAGAGGGGAGGTGTCCCAGACTTTTAAATGACCAGCTCTCGTGCTCTCGTGAGGTCTCAACTGTCATGAAGACAGCACCAAGCCATGAGGGATCCTCCCGCATGATCCAAACACCTCTTGCCAGGCTGCACCTCCAGCATCCACAGTCATAATTCAACATGACATTTGGGCAGGGGTAAATGTCCAAACTATATCAGGGGTTTTATTTTTAGTTTACACTAGCAAATTATCAAACCTTAGGAGAAGACTGTGGAAACCCTGATTTATAACCAGTTGGGCATAAGGGTCTTTATAAAAGGGAGGCAGGAGGATCAGACTCAGAAAAAGGACATGTGAATGATGCAGGATTTATGCTCCTTAGTTCAGCTAAATCCGAATTCTTGTCTCATGACCAGGAAAAATTAGGCATGTGGCCACACTGAAGAATAGAACAGAATTTATTAAACGAAGGAAAAGTTTTCAGCAAAGAGAGGGATCCTACAAAAAGGTTTCCACTTCACAACTGAATACCAGGGCTCCCATACATGAGCGGAAGAGGCGAGGCTCCTCCCCAGCATACGGCAGGAAATCCTAGTAGCTCCATCCTGATCCCCCAGTGCGCATTTGGGCATGCCCACACAAGCCATGGGTAGTATCAGAAAAGGCAACATTCAATTGGTTAAAAGGCATTATTCAGAGAGAATCAATAGGAAAAGGGTGAGCAAACAAGGGCAGAAGATCTCCCTGAGGGTTGCAGGTTTCATCTGGGACCAGCAATCCAGTCTTTTGGCCTTTAGGCTGTTTTAGGTTTGAAGGTGGGGTTTTCACCAAGGACCCTTCCCTATATGCCCAGGCGTTTGTCTGCCTCCTGCCTCTATCATGAAGACAGAAAAGGTTGAACTGATGCCCTTTGAAGGTGGAGGAAGTGGCCAGAAGCCAAGGAATGCAGATGGCCTCTGGAAGCTTGAAAAGGGAAAGACACAGTTTCTCCTCTGGAAACTGAAGAAGTATGAATAGCGCCTTGGCAACACCTTGATTTTAACCCTTTAAGATTCATTTCAGGCCAGGCATGGAGGCTTATGCCTGTAATCCCAGACTTTGGGAGGCCAAGTCGGGTAGATCACCTGAGGTCTGGAGTTCAAAACGAGCCCGGCCAAAATGGTGAAATCCCATCTCTACTAAAAATACAAAAATTAGCCAGGCATGGTGGCAGGCCCCTGTAATCCCAGCTACTCGGGAGGCTGAGGCAGGAGAATTACTTGAACCCAGGAAGCAGAGGTTGCAGTAAACTGAGATTGCGCCACTGCACTCCAGACTGGGTGACAGAGCAAAACTCCATCGAAAAAAAAAAAAGACTCATTTCAGGCTGGGTGCAGTGGCTCATGCCTGTAATCCCAGCACTTTGGGAGGCTGAGGTGGGAGGATTGCTTGAGCCTAGGAGTTCGAGACCAGCCTGGCCAACATGGTGAAACCCTCTCTCTAGTAAAACTACAAAAATTAGCCAGGTGTGGTGCTGTATGCCTGTAATCCCAGCTACTCAGGTGGCTGAGGCAGAAGAATTGCTTGAACCAGGGAGATGGAGGTTGCAGTGAGCTGAGATCATGCCACTGCACTCCAGCCTGGGCGACAGAATGAGACTCCATCTCAAAAAAAGAAAAAATAAAGACTCATTTCAGATTTCTGACCTCCATGGTATGATAATAAATGTGTGTTGTTTTAACCCACTAAGTTTGTGGTAATATGTCACAGCACAAAAGGAAATTAACAGCACTTAAATATTACAAAAAAATAGACCAGGCGCAGTGGCTTATGCCTGTAATCCCAGCACTTTGGGAGGCCGAGGTGGGCGGGTCACGAGGTCAGGAGGTCAGGAGTTCAAGACCAGCCTGGCCAACATAGTGAAACCATGTTTCTACTAAAAATACAAAAATTAGCCAGGCATGGTGGCACACACCTGTAGTCCCAGCTACTCAGGAGGCTGAGGCGGGAGAATCACTTGAACCCAGGAGGTGGAGGTTGTGACGAGCCGAGATTGTGCCACTGCACTCCAGCCTGGACAACAAAGCAAGACTCCATCTCAAAAAAAATATGTTATTACAAAAAAAAATATGATATTTTGAAAATGAGATCACTGAGGTCCATTCTGGAAACCGGTCAGGGAGTACTAAAGAAATAAACCACACACTTCATAAGGCCAGGGCATATAGAAGGGTGGCATCATTTGCACCTTTGGCAAAATAAGACTTAAGGTGCCCCAGTGTCCTGTGGGAGATCCTAAGTCTGTGTTGAAAACAAGGACTGAGGCTGGGCACTGTGACTCACGACTGTAATCCCAGCACTTTGGGAGGCCGAGGCAGGCGGATCACCTGAGGTCGGGAGTTCAAGAGCAGCCTGACCAACCTGGAGAAAACCTCATCTCTACTAGAAGTACAAAATTAGCCGCGTGTGGTGGCACATGCCTGTAATCCCAGCTACTCAGGAGGCTGAGGCAGGAGAATTGCTTGAACCCAGGAGGTGGAGGCTGTGGTGAGCCCAGATCACGCCATTGCACTCCAGCCTGGACAACAAGAGCAAAACTCTGTCTCAAAAAAAAAAAAAGAAAAGAAAACAAGGACTGATGCTAAGAAGGAGAATGATTTTTGCCTTTCCTCCAGTTCTCAGGATTGGAATCCAAAGACAGTGTCCATGACTGTACTGCCAGGCAACATGGCCTTTGTCATTCTTCAGACTTCTCCAGAGAGCAAAGGTAGGAAAGTATGTCGAAAGGCTAGAGGAACCCTAGCCAAACCAGAAAAATTTGCTATTCTTGAAAAGGAAAGGGGAAAACACTTTCCAAATATGGATCCCAAGCTGAGATATTTGAAAATAAATCTCTAAAGCACACAGATTTTATGCAAAAGAGATGGGCTTCTCCTGAAACTATGCAGGGGAACTATACTTTATAAAGGATGTTCTCTCTAAGGAACCGTTTTACATCCAAGATAACAGTTTTATTTTTTATTTTTTATTATTGATTGATTTTTGGAGACAGAGTCTCACTCTGTCGCCCAAGCTGGAGTGCAGTGACTTGATCTCGGCTGAACACAACCTCCGCCTCCTGGGTTCAAGCAATTCTTCTGCCTCCTCCTCCTGAGTAGCTCAGACTGCAGGCGTGTGCCACCATGCCCAGCTAATTTTTTTTTTGTATTTTAGTAGAGACAAGGTTTCACTATGTTGGCCAGGCTGGTCTCGAACTCCTGAGGTCAGGTGATCCGCCCACCTTGGCCTCCCAAAGTGCTAGGATTATAGACGTGAGCCACTGCGCCTAGCAAGACAACAGTTTTAGATATGCCTTAGGAACCTTGAGAAGGACAGGAGGAAAATATAAGGCCAGCAAAGACAGTTTGCCTATCCCCTTAGCTGGGTGACCCTTTTCAGTCATTCTAAGACAAATTGAACTTAAGTTGGTGGAAAGAACCCAAGAACCCCAGCTGTCAGGACTTCCCTTCCTTTCGTAGATATTGTGGTTGGCTCCCAAGCAGCCCAGATCCTGAGGCAGGACAGGATTTCTCCACAAGTGTAGTACTGATGTCTCCAGATGTAGGGCTCAAGGGAGAGCTCCTTCATCCTCTGAAGTTTTGCTGAAAAATCAACTCGAAAAAGGCAGATTAACTGGAAAAACAAAAGGCATAGAAATTTATTGACATTAGCATGGTGTGAATCACAGAGTGATTGTCCATCCCTCTAGGTGGTTCAGAAGCTAATATACCATCCTAGAAAAACAGGTTATAGGAGGGGGAAGAAGAATTTGTTCTTGTTCTGAGACAGGGTCTTGCTCTCTTGCCCAGGCTGGAGTGCAGTGGCATGGTCAAGGATCACTGAAGCTTCGACCTCCCTGGCAATCTTTCTACCTCAGCCTCCTGAGTCACTGGGACTACAAGCACATGCCACCAAGCCCAGTTAATTTTTTCTTCTTTCTTTTTTTTTTTTTGAGATAGAGTCTCGCTCTGTCACCCAGGCTGGAGTGCAGTGGCGGGATCTCAGCTCACTACAAGCTCCGCCTCCCAGGTTCACGCCATTCTCCTGCCTCAGCCTCCCAAGTAGCTGGGACTACAGGCGCCCGCCACCGCGCCCGGCTAATTTTTTTGTATTTTTGTAGAGATGGGGTTTCACCACGTTAACCAGGATGTTCTAGGTCTTCTGACTTCGTGACTCGCCCACCTCAGCCTCCCAAAATGTTGGGATTACAGGCATAAGCCACCGTGCCCAGCCTATTTTTTCTATTTTTTTGTAGAGACAGGGTGTCGCTATGTTGCCCAGGCTGGTTTTGAAATACTGGAGTCAAACAATCCTCCTGCCTAGGCCTCCTAAAGTGTGGGATTACAGGCGTGAGCCACTGTGCCCGGCCAGGATAAAGGTTTTGGAAGAGATTGTAGGAGGATGAAAGCCAGGGAGACCTTGAGGCTTTTTCAGTTCAGTATGTCAAAATACCATACATTTTGAGGTATTGGTTTTGAAGCCCAATGAAGACTTTGATAAATATCCCCTGAGGGCCAAAATTAACCCTGTTGAGAACCACTAGTCTAAGCCAATCATTGGTTTAGGTGGTGGTGGGTGACTCACTTCTGTCCAGTTATTCATGAGAATTCTGCTGGGGAGGTTTCTGAGAAAAGGTTTCTTCCTCCAAAAAGAGCCATTTTGAGGGCCAGGCGTGGTGGCTCACGCCTGTAATCCCAGCACTTTGGGAGGCCGAAGTGGGCGTTATCACAAGGTCAGGAGATCGAGACCATCTTGGCTAACACGGTGAAACCCCGTCTCTACTAAAAATACAGAAAATTAGCCTGGTGTGGTGGCTCATTCCTGTAGTCCCAGCTACTTAAGAGGCAGAGGCAGGAGAATCGCTTGAATCTGGGAGCAGAGGTTGCAGTGAGCCGAGATCCTGCCATTCCACTCCAGCCTGGGCAACAGCATGAGACTCCATCTCAAAAAAAAAAAAACAAAAAAAGAGCCATTTTGTGATGAGCTTTGGTGTGCCAAAAAAGAGAGAACTATTTTAAAAATGACACCTTCTTGAAGGCCGGATGCAGTGACTCACACCTGTAATCCCAGCACTTTCAGAGGCTGAGGTGGGCAGATCACCTGAGGTTGGGAGTTCGAGACCAGCCTGACCAACATGGCAAAACCCCGTCTCTACTAAAAATAACAAAAATTAGCTGGGTGTTGAGCACCTGTAATCCCAGCGACTTGGGAGGCTGAAGCAGGAGAATCGCTTGAACCCAGGAGGCAGAGGTTGCAGTGAGCCAAGGTCACGCCATTGCACTGTAGCCTGGGCGACAAGAGTGAAACTCCGTCTCTAAAAACCAAAAAAACGAAAAAACCTTCTCTCTTCTTTCTCTGTCAATGCTGCATGTGAGGCTCAAAACTATTTTGCTACCAGCCTAAGGATGAAGAGCACAGGGATGGAAAGAATCTGGGTCTTTGGTAAGACCCTTGTGTCACAACCTCATCCAAGCAGAAGGCTGCTTGAACTCAGGTCTTCCTATAAGGCAAAATAAATACAATGAAAATATGCTGGCTGGGTACGGTGGTTCATGCCTGTAATCCCAGCACTTTGGGAGGCTGAGGGGGGAGGGTCGCTTGAGCACAGAAGTTCAAGACCAGCCTGGACAGCCTTGGACCAGGTTAGGATTATGAGAGGGGCTTGAATTTTGCTAAGATACAGGCCCAGTTAAATGATAGCCAGTCATTATTCTGGCGATCACAAGATATAGGAGTAACTTTCCCAATTACTCCTATAGATAACATCACTATTGTACCACTTAAGATTGGCCTTTTGTGACGTTTTTCAATTACTTGGGTTTTTAATGGTCTTTTTATTTTTCTCCTTTTTGTGGAAAATTGGGTCTTGCTGTGTTGCCCAGGCAGGTCTCAAACTATCCTCCCACCTCTGCCTCCTGAAATACTGGGATTATAGACGTAAACCATCATACCTGGCAGAAATAACATCACTAACATAGAATCTAAAATTGGCTTTTTGAGATGTTTTTTAGACTTCTGTATTTCTGGCTATTGACTCCACTCAGACCCACCACTCGTGACATCTGGTCCTGTGGCCTCCATCCAGAGGCTGTCAAGGACCGCTTTCTATACCCTTAAGATTTCATCTCCAACCAATCAACATTCCCCATTCCTGAGTCCCCTGCCCACCAATGCATCCTTGAAAAACCCTCGCCTCTGAGCCCTTGGGGAGAGTGATTTGAGCTTAAGTTCTTCGCATGGCCCGCACTGTGTTAATTAATCTCTTTCTTTACTGTAACACACCGTCTCAGTGAACTGATTTTGTCTGTGCAGCAGGCAGGAAGAACCCATTGGACAATTACATGACCTCTCTCCCAAGTCAGACTGCCTCTCAGTCCAGGAGACGTTTTTTTTTTCTTCAAGACAGGGTCTTACTCTGTCCCCCAGGCTGGAGTATAGTGGCACAATCTCGATTCACTGTAACTTCCGCTTCCCAGGCTTGAGCAATACTCCCACCTCAGCCTCCTGAAAAGCTGGGACTACAGGTGCAAGTCACCATGCTCAAATAATTTTTTTTTTCTTTTTTGCAGAGATGGGGTTTCACCATGTTGCCCAGGCTGGTCTCAAACTCCTGAGCTCAAAGCAATCCACCCAAATGCTGGAATTACAGGCATGTGCCCTGCTCCCAAGAGGTTTTTAACTGGTAAATCCATTCAGCCTTCCCTGGGCTGCTTTTTTTTTTTTTTTTTTTTGAGACGGAGTTTCGCTCTTGTTGCCCAGGCTGGAGTGCAATGGCATGATCTCAGCTCACTGCAACCTCCGCCTCCCGGGTTCCAGCGATTCTCCTGCCTCAACCTCCCGAGTAGCTGGGACTACAGGCGTGTGTCATCACGCCTGGCTAATTTTTTTAGTAGAGATGGGGTATCTCCATGTTGGTCAGGCTGGTCTTTTTTTTGAGACAGAGTCTCGCTCTGTCACCTAGGCTGGAGTGCAGTGGCGTGATCTCAGCTCACTGCAACCTCTGCCTCCTGGGTTTACACCATTCTCCTGCCTCAGCCTCCCAAGGAGCTGGGACTACAGGCGCCCACCACCACACCTGGCTAATTTTTTGTATTTTTAGTAGAGACGGAGTTTCACCGGGTTAGCCAGGATGGTCTCGATCTCCTGACCTCACAATCCGCTGGCCTCAGCCTCCCAAAGTGCTGGGATTACAGGTGTGAGCCACCGCGCCCAGCTTCTGGGCTTCATTATTGACCTCTTGGAAGCTTCTGGCATATTGACTATCCTTTCTTTTTCCAAACTTTTCTCTTGAATTCAGTGACATGCTTTTCTAGTTCTGTTTCCTTCCCGATTAATTCTGCCCCTTTTGACTTCTGTTATTCCTCTCACCACTGCAATATGGGTCACCAAATATAACCCATCTTAGGGTCACCATACTGAACTGTATCAGGGAATGCCATTCAGATCATAGTCTTTGTCATTGGCCCCACTCAGTTATGCAGTGCACAGCCTAGGCAGCTGTACATAGCACCTCTTACCTTATCTATACTGCTGACTTCAGTTATGTTACCTATTCTCTGCAGATTCTTACCAAAACCCCATCAGCAGCTTCTGCCTTGCACCATTGGAAAATATTGTGGAGCAGACTGAATGCCCCAACCACCCACCCCGGCAAGAGGCTCTGTGCCTCCCTGTGCTCACTAGCATCAGTGGGACAAGGCAATATTATTTGGCACCATCAGTGCACAAATCCAAGAATAAAGAATCCAACCAGATGTGATGACTCATACCTGTAATCCCAGCACTTTGGAAGGCAGGTGGATCACTTGAGTTCAAGAGTTTGAGACCAGCCTGGGGCAACATGCTGAGACCCCCATCTCTACTAAAAATACAAAAAAATAGCTGGGCATGGTGGTGCACACCTGTGGTCCCGGCTAATTGGGAGACTGAGGTAGGAGGATCGCTTGAGCTCGGGAGGTGGTGGTTGCAGTGAGCCGAGATTACACCACTGCACTCCGACTTGGGTGACGAAGAGAGACCCTGTCTCAAAAAAAAAAAAAAAAAAAAAAGGATCCCCTGCTAAATAGTCTCTTTGGCTCAGCTTTATGTTTCTAGATTCAGTTAGAAGCAACTTGTTTCTTACAACTTTATTTTTTATTTATTTATTTTTTTGAGATGGAGTCTCACCCTGTCGCCCAGGCTGGAGTGCAATGGCATGAGGCTCACTGCAGCCTCCACCTCCCGGGCTCAAGAGATTCTCCTGCCTCAGCCTCCCGAGTAGCTGGGATTACAGGCACCTGCCATCATGCCCAGCTAATTTTTGTATTTTTAGTACAGATGGGGTTTCACCATGTTGGTCAGGCTGGTCTTGAACACCTGACCTCAGGTGATCCACCCAACTCGGCCTCCTAAAGTGTTGGGGTTACAGGTGTGAGCCACTGTGCCCGGCCAAACATCTGTATTTCAATATACAGTTTTTAAAAAAATCCTTTCCTATGCACAACTTCACTTAATGCTCATAATAACCCTGAGAGGTAGACAGTAGTGTTAGATTTAGATACAAAAACTGGAAATTAAAGAGGCTAAAATGACAAATGGATGCAGTGGAAAAGCCAGGATCCAAATCCAAGTCTTTTCCCTGCGGTACTTCATTCTGCTCCAAGCTCAGATTGACCAAATGTTGTTTGATAGAACACGTGAGCTGGGGCTGAAGGAGCAGGGACAATGCCTTTTTCACTTTTGCCTCTGATAGCCTGTAGACTGGTAGGCACTGAAGTATTTGCTCACTTGTGCAATAAATATTTATTGAGCACCTTGTACGTGCTGGGCACTGAAAATACAACCGTGAACAAAGGCTGTCACGGTTCCTGAACTCATGGAGCTTCCACTCCAGTGGAGGAGACATAATTTCAGTGATAATGCTACGACGGGGGACAATGTGGGAGAAAATAAGAGGGAGGTGGCCAGGCACGATGGCTCACTCCTGTAATCCCAGCACTTTGGAAGGCCAAGGTGGGTGAATCACGAGGTCAGGAGTTTGAGACCAGCCCGGCCAATATCGTGAAACCCTGTCTCTATTAAAAAGACAAAAATTAGCCGGGTGTGGTGGCAGATGCCTGTAATCCCAGCTACTAGGGAGGCTGAGGCAGGAGAACTGCTTGAACCCGGGAGGCGAAGGTTGCAGTGAGCTGAGATCACGCCACTACACTCCAGCCTGGGTGACAGAGCGAGACACCATCTCAAAAAAGAAAAAGAAAAGGGGGAGGTAATTTTAGAATGGTCAGATAAGGTTTTTCTGAGAAGATAACATTAATTAAACGAACAAATGAATGAAGAGCCACTCGCTAGCGGATTATTTGCTAAGAGTTTGTCAGCCACAAGACTGTTAACGGCTCTGATGCTGAATATCTTTTGAACCCTATGTTGATGATGCTCAAAAGGCAAGTGCAGAGGTGAAGCATAACAAAGAATCCTTTTCCATTTCTTTTCAGTCCTCTGACCTTGCCTTTGCCGTCAGGGTCACACTCCCCCCTCTGCCACTCCCTTTCTTCTGTTTCCGGACACTTGCGGCCTGGACGCGCATGTGCGAGAGAAACCGTCATTCCCAGAGGACGAGCCCCCGGCAGAACGCATGCGCCTCTGTACCGTAAGCCCCGCCCCGACCCCCGCGCCCCCTCGCGGGCGCCTGCCGTTTCTCCGGGCGGGAGGGGGGGCGGGGACTGGGAGGAGAGGCGCGCGCTGGTGCGTGCGTGCGCGCGCGCCGCGGGCGGGCCAGTGAAACCGGCGGCCCTGGCACGTGACCCAGGACCGGCTCACCGGGTCGCTTGGTGGCTCAGTCTGTCTGTCCGTCCGCGGGTGCCATCATGGCGGACGCGGCCAGTCAGGTGCTCCTGGGCTCCGGTCTCACCATCCTGTCCCAGCCGCTTATGTACGTGAAAGTGCTCATCCAGGTATGAGGCGTCGCCGCTCCCTACCCCTCCTGGCGCCCCGTTCGGTCGCTGCTGCTCAGGGCGCCTGAGGATCGGCTCAGCCTTGCGGGCCCTTCATTCTCCCGAGATGCTGCTGCTCCTCCGCTGCCCTTTCCCTCCCCGCAGGGACAGCTTCCTCTGTCCCGCTGCCCTTTCCCCCCCATCTTGGGGGCCTCTCCGAGCCCTCGCCCCGCTGCCCAGCGTTGAGGCCCACTCCTCCCTTAGCCAACCGCCACCCTGCCCTGCCCTGCCCTGCCCGGCGGATCCTCTGAACTTTGGTTCTTCTTCTCTGAGGTGGATCCTGGCCGGTCGCCACCAAGGGCTTCCAAACCCTCCCTCTCGCCCCTCCGAAATTCACATTCACCGCTCCTCCCCCCAAAATCTCAGACGCAAGACACGAAATACTCAGTTGAAGACAAATGTGAAGTTAGGTGGGAACCAACATTTTATTTTTTATTCCTTTTTTTTTTTTTCTTTTTATGCTACTGTTACTGCTGCTTTTCTGTTCCGAGGTTTTCGCACCAGATAGCCAGAGAAACACAAGGAGCTCATTCAGAAGTATTAATGAAGGGGTTGCTCTGTCAGATTTCGGAAGGATGCATTGAGCGCTTTCCAGCAGCAGCCCATGTGGCTCCTGACAATGAAAATCACATTGGTCAGAGCTGGAAATTAGTGAAGCGGAGTTTTAGCGAGTTTAAACATGGGAGTTAGCTTCTAATCTACTGTCAAATAGTTATTACATGGTATTTTATATTCACATGCAGGTAGGCCAAGTAAGTGATAGACTTAGTGTTTCCAGTTCCTTTCCTGAATATCCCTGTAACGGGCAGGTCCTTCTTTTTTGTATGCCTTTACTGAGAGTTAACATAATTGCCTCATGCACTGTGCCTAGGAATGGAACAGTTTTTAGAACCCTGTCTTGCCGTCTACTTTTCTGTAAAAATTAGGCAAGACACTAGAGAGGGCCACGTTTCTTATTCTTGAGTTGTTGGGAATCCAGATTATTTCTTGCTGAGTAGACCCGTCTGAATTCAGATTCCGTTCGTTAAACGCTATTGCAAATAAATGATTTGCACCTAGAACAAAGACTGATTAGAATGTACTGTAACATCTAAAACAGAATGGGCACATTTGGGGCTAGATAGCATTTGAGATGACAGCATGTTGCAGTATATCTAGTAAGAACCCTTGGGCCCGGGCGCGTTGGCTCATGTCTGTAATCCCAGCACTTTGGGAGGCCGAGGCAGGCGGATCACGAGGTCAATGTTCCAGACCAGCCTAACCGACATGGTGAAACCCTGTCTCTACTAAAAATATAAAATATATCCAGGTGCGGTGGTGCGTGCATGTAATTCCAGCTACTCGGGAAGCTGAGGCAGGAGAATCACTTGAACCCGGGAGGTGGAGGTTGCAGTGAGCCAAGATCGCACCATTGTACTCCGGCGTGGGCGACAGAGCAAGACTCAGCCTCAGAGAAACAAAAAAAAGAACCCACTACTCAGTACTTCTCTGGGAGATGGGGTTTTCTAGTGATGTTCAGAGCTCTTGCCCCAAAAACTTTGAATACCCTTAATTCTGATTTCACAACATCTTTGTGTTGCCAAGTAGCCCAGGAGTTTTGGTGAAATTCCCAAATGCTCAGTTTTAAAAATAGTTACTTGGGCCGGGCACGGTGGCTCACGCCTATAAATCCCAACACTTTGGGAGCCTGAAACAGGCGGTTCACCTAAGGTCAGGAGTTCAAGACTAGCCTGGCCAACAAAGCACAACTCCCTCTCTACTGAAAATACAAAACTTAACTGGGTGTGGTGGTGGGTGCCTGTAATCCCAGCTACTCAGGAGGCTGAGGTATGATAATCGCTTGAACCTAGGAGGTGGTGACCTAGATCACGCCACTGCACTGCAGCCTGGGTGACAAGAGCAAAATTCTGCCTCCAAAAAATAAATAACTAAATAAAAATAAAAATGGTTACTTGGTAGCACTATTCAGGGAACTCAGACAGGAATTATTTATTTATTTATTTTTGATACAGAGTTTTGCTCTTGTCACCTAGACTGGCATGCAATGGCACAATCTCAGCTCACTGCAACCTCCGCCTCCCAGGTTCAAGTGACTCTCCGGCCTTAGCCTCCTGAGTAGCTGGGATTACAGGCGCCCACCACCACACCTGGCTAAGTTTTGTATTTTTAGTAGAGACGGGGTTTCACCGTGTTGACCAGGCTGGTCTTGAACTTCTGACCTCGGGTGATCCGCCCACCTTGGCCTCCCAAAGTGCTCGGATTACATGCGTGAGCCACCACGCCAGCCCAGGAGTTACTTAACAGGACAGATTAAGAGTCACAACAATAATCAAAACTATGTCCTACAGCATTCATTCTCTCGAGTATCTGTAGTGTTAAAAATCCTGAGTATATGGTACAAAGACCGTGGTAATCATTAACTATATAAAATGGCCTTCATTAGCTGTTAATGACAGCCTTTTTTTTGTTTGTTTGATTGTTTTTGAGACAGAGTCTCGCTGTTGTCGGCCTGGGCTGGAGTGTAGTGGCACAATCTCAGCTTACTGCAACCTATGCCTCCCGGCTTCGAGTGATTCTCGTGCCTCAGCCTCCCAAGTAGCTGAGATTACAGGTGCCCGCCACTACGCCCGGCTGATTTTTTATTTTTAGTAGAGACAGGATTTCACCATGTTGACCAGGCTGGTCTCGAACTCCTGACCTCAGGTGATCCGACCCTTTGGCCTCCCAAAGTGCTGGGATTACAGGCATGAGCCACTGCGCCTGACCGACGGCCTGTTCTTCTAACATGAAGTTAGCTTGTAATTCTTTCCTAAGTGAATTATCCAGCTATATCTGCATTTGCCTTTTGAGTGTTTTGTCTAGGTTACCAAGTATGCAGCTGATGCTGGCATGATGGACGTCTTCTCATTTTGTTCAAATATAAAATATGCCTTAAATTTTATTTAGAAGGTATTTTTGAGCCCCCTTAGTAAACTGTAGCTTTCCTAACACAAAAGTTCCCTTCTTTTTCAGTTTGATATTAGCCTATTTCAGCTACATGGTATACGTCATAGAATTTGAACCAAAACGAAACTTGGAGTTTACTGAACTCAGTATTACCAACAGAAGAAAAACGTACAAGAATGATGCTTCATCATTGCCGTGGAAAACATATGCTGTGTTTTTACTTGTGTTTAAAAATAACCCAAATTTTGTTCTTTATTCAAGACCTTGCAAGCAAGACATTTCTGGAAATACTGCTTTAATATTGATATATTCCATTGTTTTTAAAGGTGGGTTATGAGCCTCTTCCTCCAACAATAGGACGAAATATTTTTGGGCGGCAAGTGTGTCAGCTTCCTGGTCTCTTTAGTTATGGTAAGCGTCTTTGATTTGTTTGGGTTTGGATGACATTGAGGACTGTGATAGGCAGGAGTTGTTACTGAAAGAAAATATATAGAAAGCTTGTTTCTTTCAAATTGTAGTATATCCGTTTCTCTTGACCAGAAACTTGACTACATCTCTGATTTGTGTTCCTAGCTCAGCACATTGCCAGTATCGATGGGAGGCGTGGGTTATTCACAGGCTTAACTCCAAGACTGTGTTCGGGAGTCCTTGGAACTGTGGTCCATGGTAAAGTTTTACAGGTAAGAGGAAAATTAAATCAATCTTCCCATAGATTTTGCTTACCTATTATGCAACAGTTTATTCTAAATATCAAGAGCAATTTAAAAGATACATTTATAACCCTGTCCTTTCTTCCTCTTGAAAAACATTGTCTTAAAATATCTTCTTTCGGCCGGGCGCGGTGGCTCACACCTGGAATCCCAGACTTTGGGAGGCCGAGGAAGGCGGATCACCTGAGGTCAAGAGTTCAAGACCTTGGCCGGGCGCGGTGGCTCAAGCCTGTAATCCCAGCACTTTGGGAGGCCGAGACGGGCGGATCACGAGGTCAGGAGATCGAGACCATCCTGGCTAACACGGTGAAACCCTGTCTCTACTAAAAAATACAAAAAACTAGCCGGGCAAGGTGGCAGGCGCCTGTAGTCCCAGCTACTCGGGAGGCTGAGGCAGGAGAATGGTGTGAACCTGGAAGGCGGAGCTTGCAGTGAGCTGAGATCTGGCCACTGCACTCCAGCCTGGGTGACAGAGCGAGACTCCATCTCAAAAAAAAAAAAAGAGTTCAAGACCAACCTGACCAACATGGAGAAACCCCGTCTCCACTAAAAATACAAAATTAGCCAGGCGTGATGGCGTGTGCCTGTAATCCCAGCTACTTGGGAGGCTGAGGCAGGAGAATCGCTTGAACCCGGGAAGCGGAGATGGTAGTGAGCAGAGATCGCACCGCTGCACTCCAACCTGGGCAACAAGAGCGAAACTCCGTCTCAAAAAAATATATATATGTATATATCTTCTTTCCTGGGAAGCAACGGGAATTCCTTTAAAATGAAGTTTTTTTGGTTTGTTTTTTGTTTTGTTTCTGTTTTTGTTTTTTGAGACGTAGTCTTGCTCTGTCACCCAGGCTGGAGTGCAGTGGCGCCATCTCCGATCACTGCAAATTCCGCCTCCCAGGTTCATGCCATTCTCCTGCCTCAGTCTCCCAAGTAGCTGGGACTACAGGCGCCCGCCACCATGCCTGGCTAATTTTTTGTATTTTTGGTAGAGACGGGGTTTCACCGTGTTAGCCAGGATGATCTCGATCTCCTGACCTTATGACCCACCCGCCTCGGCCTCCCAAAGTGCTGGGATTACAGGCATGAGCCACCACACCTGGCCAGTTCTAATGGTTTAACACCTGATGAGCAAATCATGATTTTGTTAAAACAATTTCATGACCTGATTGGCTTGGATTTGACAAATATTTCTTCAAACTTCATCGATTTGAATTAAAGAAGTGTGAGTTAAAGAGGTTTCAGCCAGTACCTCACATGGAAGCTGACTAACCCTTCAGTCATCTTGCTATTCTTTTTTGTTCCTGTTTTTTTAATGGAGTCAGGGGCTGCTATGTTGATCAAGCTGGCCTTTTTTTTTTTTTTTTTTTTTTGAGACTGTCTTGCTCTGCTACCAGGCTGGAATGCAGTGGTGCAATCTCGGCTCACTGCAGCCTCCGCCTCCCGGATTCAAGCGATTGTCCTGCCTCAGCCTCTGAATAGCTGGGACTACAGGTGTCCACCACTGCACCCAGCTAATTTTTGTATTTTTAATAGAGACGGAGTTTCACCATGTTGGCCAGGCTGGTCTCGATCTCTTGACCTCATTATCTGCCCACCTCGACCTCCCAAAGTGCTGGGATTATAGGCATGAGCCATTGCACCCAGCCTTGCCTGAAACTTTCTATGTCTGCCTCCCAAAGTGCTAATATTACAGGCACGAGCCACCACGTCCAGCCTGTTATTCTTAACATACTTACTGTTGTCACACCTGTGGACTGAATCTGGAAGCATCATTTCAGGTGGCTCGTGGGTCAGAGTGTTGGAGTCCTAGTGGGCCCATGTCTTTGGTGGATTGATTACTGGTCTTTCTTTTCCAGCCACACTCTGGACTCAGTGAAATTGTTGCTGTTACTTTCATGAAATTTACGTATGGAAAGGCAGTTGTCATCTAGCCAAAGAGGTTTATGTATAGACTTAGAGAAAAAGAGAAAGTACTGCTTGAGACTAAGTTACTTTATGTAACTGGAAAATAAGACAAACTTGAGGTAACCAGGTACCCTGAATATATTCCAAATGTAGTCCAGTGAAATATTATAGGGTTGGTACTACACTTAGCATCCAAAGCTGCTTGTACAGTCAAGAAGAAGGATGTATGCAGGGCTGAGAAAATTATTAACCTTTACAAGAAATGATTTTGTATATCTGAGCAAGTATTAAAATGAAATTCAGGAAATATAGAAGCCAGGTTAGATAATTGTGTCAATGGAGTAAAAAACAAAGTATAGAAACAAGTGAAAGTTTTTAGAGACCTGAAGCTATTAGAATTAATTCTAGCCAAGGACCTGGATTCTGGCCAAAATACATTACTTTGCTTTATCTTCACATTTGTCATCTTGCCTGTGATTTTTTAAAACACAATTCTTTTTACAAGAGAAAATATTGTCTTTTTAAAACCTGATATGGCTAGAAAATAATAAAACTGACATTAAAAAATAAGAAAACAATAAAACTCATGGTTACACAAGAAGGAGCTCTCAATTGATAATTTTATTTTCACCTAGCTCACATTCTGTTTCCAAAATACGGCACAAAAAATTCCTCTTGCAGGAATTTTTCTCTGGGCTCTGGCAGTATTCATGATCTCTTCTCTAGAAGATAAAAAAAAAAAACCTCTCATTTTAGAAACTGTCAGATACAAAGGAAAAAGTGAGGCGATTTCAGCTCTTCAGACTTAACACCAATTCTCTGTCCTTTTATGCAGGGAAGAAAAGAGTCTTGCCCTAATTTGGTATTGGTCCTGCCTTTTCCATAAGAAAAGTGGGAACCCTGGACTTTGTTTTTACTAACTTATTTTCTGTTAAAACTGAAAGTTCTTGGCCGGGCGCAGTGGCTCATGCCTGTAATCCCAGCCCTTTGGGAGGTCGAGGTTGGTGGATCAGCTGAGGTCAGCAGTTCGAGACCAGCCTAGCCAACATGGTGAAACACTGTCTCTACTACAAATACACAAATTAGCCAGGCGTGGTGGTGGGTGCCTGTAATCCCAGCTACTCAGGAGGCTGAGGCAGGAGAATTGCTTGAACCTGGGAGATGGAGGTTGCAGTGAGCTGAGATCTAACCATTGCACTCCAGCAGTGAGCCGAGATCGCACCATAGCACTCCACCTGGGCAACAAGAGTGAAACTCCATCTAAAAAAAAAAAAATCTGAAAGTTCTTGAATTTTCTTTTTTGTTGTTCTTATTTTGTAATTATTGCTTTAAATTTATTATTATTTTTTTTAGAGACAAAGTCTCACTGTGTTGCCCAGTCTGGTCTTGAATTCCTGGGCTCAAGCAGTCCTCCCTCTTCGGCCTTCCAAAGTGTTGGGATTACAGGCGTGAGCCACTGAGCATGTTCCCTTTTTGTTTTGTTTTGTTTTGTTTTGTTTTTTGTTTTTTGTTTTTTTTGAGACAGAGTTTCACTCTTGTTGCCCAGGCTGGAATGCAATGGCATGGTCTCGGCTCACTGCAGCCTCCACCTCCTGGGTTCAAGCAATTCTCCTGCCTCAGCCTTCCACAGAACTGGGGTTACAGGCACCCGCCACCACACCTGGCTAATTTTTGTATTTTTAGTAGAGATGGGGTTTCGCCACGTCAGCCAGGCTGTTCTCAAACTCCTGACCTCAGGTGATCCACCTGCCTCAGCCATGCAAAGTGCTGGGATTACAGGTGTGAGGCACCACGCCTGGCCCCTTTTCTTTTTTTCTGAGATAGAGTCTTGCTCTTTTGCCCAGGCTGGAGTGTAGTGGTGTGATCTCAGCTCACTGCAGTCTTTACCTCCCAGGTTCAAGCAGTTCTCTCTCTTGTCTCAACTTCCCAAGTAACTGGGATTACAGGCGCCCGCCACCAAGCCTGGCTAATTTTTGTATTTTTAGTAGAGATGGGGTTTCGCCACATCAGCCAGCTGTTCTCAAACTCCTGACCTCAGGTGATCCGCCTGCCTCAGCCACGCAAAGTGCTGGGATTACAGGCGTGAGGCATCATGCCCAGCCCCTTTTCTTTTTTTCCGAGACGGAGTCTTGGTCTGTTGCCCAGGCTGGAGTGCAGTAGTATGATCTCAACTCACTGCAGTCTTTACCTCCTGGGTTCAAGCAATTCTTCTGTCTCAGCTTCCCAAGTAACTGGGAATACAGGCGCCCGCCACCAAGCCCAGCTAATTTTTGTATTTTTAGTAGAGATGAAGTTTCGCCATGTAGGCCAGGCTGGTCTCGAATTCCTAACCTCAAGTGATCCACCTGCCTCAGCCTCCCAAAGTGCTGAGATTACAGGCATGAGCCGCTGTACCCGGCCTTCCCTTTTCTTTTTTTTTTTTTTTTTTTTTTGAGATGGACTCTTGCTTTGTCACCCGGGCTGGAGTGCAGTGATGTGATCTTGGCTCCCTGCAACCTCTGCCTCCTGGGTTCAAGTGATTCTCTTGCGCCACCCTCCCTGATAGCTGGGATTACAGGCGTGCACCCCAATGCTCTGCTGATTTTTGTATTTTTAGTAGAGACGGGGTTTCACCATGTTGGCCAGGCTAGTCTTGAACTCGTGACCTCAGGTTATCTGCCCACCTCAGCCTCCTAAAGTGCTGGGATTACAGGCATAAGCCACTTCCCTTTTTCTTTTTTGAAAGAAGAGTTTTCATGACCATTTGCTTTTCTTCCAACTGACCAATATGTTAAACTTAGCAACAAGTTTATCTTGGAGATCCATATTTCCAGTTGATTAATGGGGAGTAGAAGTTAACTAAAGACTTGCAGCTTAAAAAAAAAAAAAAACAACAACAAAAACTTCAAAAAAACTTCAGCTAATTTACTTTCTGTCAGTAGAGTTTTCATTTTATGTCTTCTCTCACATGACACTGTAATAATCCTAATCATCCTTTTTCTTTTTTTCTATAGCATTACCAGGAGAGTGACAAGGGTGAGGTATGTTGGAGCTGATTTCTAAGCATGAGGGCCTTTCCCTTGCAAGTTATTATTGCTTTTGGGGCCTCTTTTGGGGAAAAGCCAAGTAGTCAGTCTCCTATTCATCTCAGTGAGTGTTGTCCTATGGGGTGGCCACCAGTTTGGACAGTTCTGTTTGAAACCATCAGGATGGCTGGGCATGGTGGCTCATGCCTGTAATCCCAGCAGTTTTGGAGGCCAAGGTGAGAGGATCACTTGCATCTAAGAGTTTGAGACCAGCCTGGGCAACATAGTAAGACCCTTTCTCTACAGAAAATCAAAGATAGTGGGGCCTGGTGGCACACACCTCTGTAGTCTCAGCTACTTGGGAGGTTGAGGTGGGAGCATCACTTGAGCACAGGAGGTCAAGACTACAGTGATCCATGATCATATCACTGCACTCAGCCTGAGTGACAGAGCAAGACCCTATCTCAAAAGAAATGAAAACCATCAAGATCGGCCGGGCAGGGTGGCTCACGCCTGTAATCCCACACTTTGGGAGGCTGAGGCAGGCAGGGATCACAAGGTTAGGAGATCGAGACCATCCTGGCTAACATGGTGAAACTCCCTCTCTACTAAAAATACAAAAATTAGCAGGGTGTGGTGGCGAGCACCTGTAATCCCAGCTACTTGGGAGGCTGAGGCGGGAGAAGCACTTGTAACCAGAGGTGGAGCTTTGCAGTGAGCCGAGATCATGCAACTGCACTCCAGCCTGGGTGACAGAGTGAGACTCCGTCTCAAAAAAAAAAAAAAGAAACCATCAAGATCTCTATTTTCTTTGATTTTGATTTCCAGGAGTTAGGACCTGGAAATGTACAGAAAGAAGTCTCATCTTCCTTTGACCGCGTTATCAAGGAGGTAAGAGATGAATTACATCCTGTGCTGTTTGCCCAGATCAAACTGTGGTGTTGCAGCTATGGAATCAGAATCATCAGGCCTGTGTGTTCAGTGTCTGTTCCCAAATGTAATTAAACCTTCAAATTAATTTGGGTGTTCAGAATAGATGTATTTCAAGAAAACACATTTTGCCCACACATTCCATCTTTAAAATACTGAAAGTCTTCTAATAGTGTTGAAAACCTCAGGAATAAAAGTGTTAAAATAGGCCAGGTGTGGTGGCTCACACCTGTAATCCCAGCACTTTGGGAGGCCAAGGCAGGAAGATCACTTGACCCCAGGAGTTAGAGACCAACTTATGCAACATAGTGAGACCTCGTCTCTGCAAAAAATAGAAAAATTAACTAGGTGTGTGGTGGCACATATCTGTAGTCCCAGGTACTCGAGAGGCTGTGGTGAGAGGATTATGTGAGCCCAGGAAGTTGAGGCTGCAGTGAGCTATGATTGTGCCACCACTCTCCAGCCTGTGTGACAGAGCAAGACCCTGTCATTAGAAAAAAGTATTAAAATAGCGGCCAGGCCCTTTGTATGTTGGATAGTATCTATGCAGAAATGCTCTTTTGACATTTTTCTGACTCTGAAATGTTCCTCATCACCCATTTCCCACCCCCATCTTCTGCTATAGGTTTTTCTGTGCCTGGCTTTCAGAACTATTCTCTTATTTCTTAAGTCTTCACATTGTCTTAATTGTCATTAATGAAGTCACAATTATCCAGGAAATGCAGCCGTCTAAAATATATATTCCAAGGGTCGGGCGCGGTGACTCACGCCTGTAATCCCAGCACTTTGAGAGGCCAAGGCAGGCGGATCACCTGAGGTCGGGAGTTCGAGACCAACCTGACCAACATGGAGAAACCCCGTCTCTACTAAAAATACAAAAATTAGCTGGGCAAGGTGGCGCATGTCTGTAATCCCAACTACTCAGGAGACTGAGGCAGGAGAATCGCTTGAACCTGGGAGGCGGAGGTCGTGGTGTGCCAAGATCGCGCCATTGCACTCCAGCCAGGGCAATGAGAGTGAGACTCCATCTCAAAATATATATATATATATATGTATTCCAAAACAAACATTACTAAAGGTCTGAAAACCAGATAAATTAGCTCTATTTTCTGTAAATTTTCATGAAATTAGTTTGCTTAAAAGCAGGGATAAATGTATTACTTTGCAATTAGTATTTTTCTTAGTTTGCCCATCCTATCCCATAGGATCTTATGCCATTGGGGAAGGGGTGAAGGCTGTCTTAAAACTCAGTGACTGGGCCGGGTGTGGTGGCTCACACCTGTAATCCCAGAACTTTAGGAGGCCAAGGCAGGCGGATCATGAGGTCAGGAGATCTAGACCATCCTGACTAGCCAGCCCGGCCAACATGACGAAACCCCGTCTCTACTAAAAATACAAAAAAAATTAGCCAGGCATGGTGGTGGGTGCCTGTAATCCCAGCTACTCAGGAAGCTGATGCAGGAGAATCGCTTGAACCTGGGAGGTGGAGGTTACAGTGAGCTGAGATCGCGGCACTGTACTCCAGCCTGGGCAGCAGAGCAAGACTCCATCTCAAAAAAAAAAAGAAAAAAGAAAACTCAGTGACTATAAAGATACTGTTTAAATGCAAACGCCAGCTGGGCGCGGTGGCTCACACCTGTAATCCCAGCACTTTGGGAGGCTGAGGTGGGCGGATCATGAGGTCAGGAGATGGACACCATCCTGGCTAACATGATGAAACCCTGTCTCTACTAAAAAATACAAAAAAAATGAAAATTAGCCAGGCGTGATGGCGGGTGCCTGTAGTCCCAGCTCCTCGAGAGGCTGAGGCAGGAGAATAGTATGAACCTGGGAGGCAGAGCTTGCAGTGAGCTGAGTTCGCACCACTGCACTCCAGCCTGGGCAACAGAGCGAGACTCCGTCTCAAAAAAAAAAAAGCAAAAGCCAATGGTAGACCTGCTACATTCACAATCCCAGAACCTAAATGCAAAGATTATAATTTAATTTTCTTTATTACTTCCTTATAGAGTCCTAGAGTAGAAAGATCAATTAGGAAGAACACAGCAGCTCTAAGATACTGCACAATTACTGGGTTGTAGTCACAAAACTAAGTTGTTCTCTTCACCCAAAAATATGGGTAGAGACTAAATGGAGCCTGCCATTTGTCTAGAATGATATTGAACTCTCCAAAATCACTTACCAATAAGAAAGCAACTTAATAATCTCAACAAAGGCCTCATATTTTTTTTCAGCTTAATGACTGTTTGTTGGTGACCTTTCCTGTTTCTTTATTTTTTCTCATACTTGTGAAATTGAGAAAACAACAGAAGCCTGCTTTGCAGAGAAATTTTGAGAAGTAACTATAATCAAACATTGAAATCCATGAGTGAGAAGTATGATAAAATGACAGTGAATGAGATCTTTCTTATCCCATTCAAACTCTTCTTGACTCCAGCCAGAACAGGAGGGCTGTGTCATTCACTTTCTTATCCTATACCACGATATCCACCCACATTCCTTCTCATAGGCATTTGAGTGTCATTTTTTTAGATTTCAGAAGTGTGTATTGATTGTTTCTAGACAACTCGAGAGATGATCGCTCGTTCTGCTGCTACCCTCATCACACATCCCTTCCATGGTATGTTTGCAGTTGACAACTGACCTTTCTTTTATAACTGATCTCTCCTGACCACTTAGATAGGTTGACGTGGGAGTTGACTAAAATGCCTTGCCTGCATGTTTTTGTTTGCTTGCTTGTTTTGAATTTTTATCAAATTTTTATCAAATTTATCCAGATAGCAAAATGTCTTTAGGTGGAAAATCTTTTTTTTCCAGGGCGATCAAAATCTATCTTAACATAGTTTTTTTTTGTTGTTTTTTTGTTTGTTTGTTTGTTTTGAGACAAGAGTTTTGCTCTTGTTGCCCAGGCTAGAGTGCGATGGTGCAATCTCAGCTCACTGAAACCTCAGCCTTTCGGGTTCAAGCAATACTCCTGTCTCAGCCTCCTGAGGAGCTGGGATTACAGGCGCATGCCACCACGCCTGGATAATTTTTGTATTTTTAGTAGTGGTGGGATTTCATCATATTGGTCAGGCTGGTCTTGAACTCCTGACCTCAGGTGATCCGCCTGCCTCGGCCTCCCAAAGTGCTGGGATTACAGGCGTGAGCCACTGCACCTGGCCTTAACATAGTTGTAAACATCTTTTCTCTATGTTCCACAGTGATCACTCTGAGATCTATGGTACAGTTCATTGGCAGAGAATCCAAGTACTGGTAAGTGTTTTTGTTTTCACATACTCAAGGAGATCTTTTGAAGCCAAAGTACTAGGATAATACTACTTTATATTTTTATGATACCTTACAGTTTGTAGAACAAATTTGTATCCAATGTCATTTGATCTGCACAAAAAACAATAAAATAGGAGAAAATACGCCCAGGCAGGTTTAGTAGCCTACCTAGGATTTCAGAGTAAGTTTCAGAGCCCCTGACTCCATATGACTATACACCTAGGTAGTTAATATCTTCACTCCTATCTCCAAATTTAGCTATCTTTGCAGAGTGAGAGCGTGCTAGAAAAGTGTGAGGGAAGGAGTTTGTAGATTTGACCTTGTCCAGTGTGATAATTGAAATTATTTTGTTTGTAACTCCAAAATAATCTTAATATATTTTACCTTTTCTTCTTGTGTACGTAGTGGACTTTGTGATTCCATAGTAACCATCTATCGGGAAGAGGGCATTCTAGGATTTTTCGCGTGAGTAAATATTGATTAGTATGTAATTTTTGCATGAGTGGGAAACATTTCCTGAAAATAAGGACAGTGGGCTGGGTGCGGTGGCTCATGCCTGTAATCCCAGCACTTTGGGAGGCCGAGGCGGGTGGATCACGAGGTCAGGAGATCAAGACCATCCTGGCTAACACAGTGAAACCCTGTTTCTACTAAAAATACAAAAACATTAGCCGGGCGTGGTGGCGGGCACCTGTAGTCCCAGCTAGTCTGGAGGCTGAGGCAGAGAATGGCGTGAACCCACAAAGCGGAGCTTGCAGTGAGCCGAGATCACGCCACTGCACTCCAGCCTAGGCGACAGAGCGAGACTCCATCTCAAAAAAAAAAAAAAAAAAAAAAAAAGAAAGAAAATAAGGATAGTGAATCTTTGTTTAATCCTTGGGGAAAATGTACTCCCTGGGCTTACCTCACATTCTAGTTAGGCCCCTTATTTTTTTTCTTTTTTTCTCTGCAGAAAGGCATATTTAGGCCCCATATGACTAGAATTCTCTTGTAAAGATCCCAAACCTTTGCTTCTAGATACTTAAAACATTTGAGGCCAGGCATAGTGGCTCACGCCTGTAATCCGAGCACTTTAAGAGTCCAGGGCGGTTGGATCACCTGAGGTCAGGAGTTCAAGACCAACCTGGCCAACATGGTAAAACCCCATCTCTGGGTGTGGTGGTGTGCACCTATAATCCCAGCTACTGAGGCTGAGGCAGGATAATTGCTTGAACCCGGGAGGTAGAAGTTGCAGTGAGCTGAGATTGTGCCACTGTACTCCAGCCCAGGCAACAGAGTGAGATTCCATCTCAAAAAATAAAAATAAAATAAAATATAAAAATAAAATTAAAAATAAAAATAAAATTAAAAATAAAATTAAATAAGGAATTTCTTTTTTTAACAAAGGACTTAATTCCAAGTTTCTACCCTTATAGTAAACTCCCAATTCTATATAGATAATAAAATGAAAAAATTAAATGTTGAAAAATGGGGAAATCATCTTAACTTGTATTTTCCTTAACTCACTAAAAGATAAGTTTTTGCAAGACTTGAATTTACTTTGGAAGAACTTAGACTACTACCCTCATTCTTCTTTTTTTTTTTTTTTTTTTTTTTTCTTACGTAGAGGGGGTTTCTCGCTGTCACCCAGGCTGGAGTGCAGTGGCCGGATCTCGGCTCACTGCAAGCTCCGCCTCCCGGGTTTGCGCCATTCTCCTGCCTCAGCCTCCCGAGCAGCTGGGACTACAGGCACCCGCCACCTCGCCCGGCTAGTTTTTTGTATTTTTTAGTAGAGACGGGGTTTCACTGTGTTAGCCAGGATGGTCTCGATCTCCTGACCTCATGATCCGCCCGTCTCGGCCTCCCAAAGTGCTGGGATTACAGGCTTGAGCCACCGCGCCCGGCCTACCCTCATTCTTCTATGAAGAAAAATTTTGCATCATTACCTAAATGGTGGTTTTTTTTTAAAAAAATTTTCAGAGTATCTCCACATATGGATTTTGAATATCATAAATACCCTGTGAGATAGGCAGGACAGCTATAGTTAGTATCACTTTAGAGATTAAAAAACATTGATGCTCTGAGAGTTTCATCTGCTGCCTGTCACATCGCTGATGAGTGCTGGAGCTGGCATTTGAAGCTGGTCTTCAATCCATGCGGAAATGCGCTTCCCACTATTCCATGCTGCCTCACCTAGGTCACCTAGACTCTAGAAAGGTGGTTTTTGATGCCTGTCATCTGTATCTGTACTTGGAACCATTCTTGCTTTGTAATTTTTCTCATCTTTTGTCTGCCAAATTTGAATATCAGATAGCTTAGCAAAATCATTTTTTTAAGCTAGTCAAAGCAAAACAATATTTAAGTCTCTTCTGCAAAGCACCTTGCAAATGTTTTGCCTCCCTGCTTACAGTTATGAATAGTAAGGTGAGCCACTGAGGGTATAGCCGACCTGCATTTTAAACGTAGGAACAAAAGTCACTGGAGATCAGCTTCAAGTACAGCTTGTTAACGAGAATGAACTAGGTATGAGGGCTGGATTCTGGTGTTTGATGTCTTTTTCACTTCCCTAGAATGTTTTGTGACCTCTAATTATTTGAGAAGCATTTGTACTGAAGAGCCTGTCTTTTTACTGATCACAATTTTTGGTTCTTATTTTTATTGTTTCTTCATGTAGGGGTCTTGTTCCTCGCCTTCTAGGTGACATCCTTTCTTTGTGGCTGTGTAACTCACTGGCCTACCTCGTCAATACCTATGCACTGGACAGTGGGGTAGGTTGTAACCTTCATGAGATGTGCTGGCCTTGGCTTTAATCTGGCAGCTAGTTTAGCTTTTAAAGTAAGATGGGCCGGGCGCGGTGGTTCACGCCTGTAATCCCAGCACTTCGGGAGGCCGACGCGGGCGGATTACCTGAGATCAGGAGTTCCAGACCGGCCTGGCCAACATGGTGAAACCTCGTCTCTACTAAAAATACAGAAAAAATTGGCTGGGCCCACATGGTGGTACGTACCTGTAGTCCCAGCTACTTGGGAGGCTGAGGCAAGAGAATCGCTTGAACCCAGGAGGTGGAGGTTGCAGTGAGCCAAGATTGTGCCACTGCATTCCAGCTGGGTGACAGAGGGAGACTCCATTTCCAAAAAATAAATAAATAAATAAACAAAGTAAGATGACAGTTTGCTACATGCCAGACTGAACAATTAGCTAAAAATTATCAAATTTTCACATGTTAATGAAATGACCCATACTGTTTACTGAAGAATGATACACGTTAAAAGTCCCTAAGATATGACAGAGTATACCCAAGAGACTTAGCCCTGTGTTCGTTCAGGGCTTTAAAGAGATCACTTCTTTATTGATACTTAAGAGAACCTGGGAAAGCAGGACATCTTTATGGTATATCTGGGGCTTTTCATCTAATCTGGACTTAAGGGGGTGCCTGTATTGGCTTTTTAGAAACCTCAGCCTTTTGAGAATCAGTCTTATCTAGAAGTTGTCTTTCCTATCTCAGCAGTTGTGGGGCCTCTTGTATATAGGCAACTTCATAGCATGATGAAAAATTGAACACGTCACAGGGTATATGACTAAATCCATGTTGTAAACCTCTTGAGTATAGAGAGGAATTTTCTTCAGCGCATCTGGTAGAAAGCTAGCTGTGTACAACAAAAGTAGTGAATTGTCCCTTAGATATGCTATAAATATGGTTTTCCAGGGACTATATTTCTAGGACGTGGGAAAAGGTTATCAATCTCATTTTCTTTTGTATTTGAAATCCTTTTACATTCATTCCTAAGGCATTTTAGTATAATATGAATTTGTCTGTTAATATTGAATCAGGTTGATCATTTTGACCACTGCCTTATTATTCTAATAATCAGTGTTTTATGGTTTTGTCCTCAAAATTAATTTTAGCCAGGTGTGGTGGCTCATGCCTGTAATCCCAACACTTGGGGAGGCTAAAGTGGGAGGATCACTTGAGCCCAGGAGGTTCAGGTTGTGAGATCACAGCTCACTGCCCCTCCAGCCTGGGCAACAATGAGAGGGATCAGATCCTGTCTCAAAAAAAAAAAAATTAATTTTCAAGCTGTCAAATTGATAATTTAGAGATAGACTATATTGACATGGAGAGCAAGGCACAGTAGCTCCAGTCTGTAATTCCAGCAACTCAGGAGGCTTAGGTGGGAGGTTTGCCTGAAGCCAGGAGTTTGACACCAGCCTAGGCAACATAGCAAGACACACCATCTCTTAGCTAGGCATAGTGGCTGACGCCTATAATCTCAGCACTTTGAGAGGTCAAGGTGGGACGAGCTCTTGAGCCCAGGAGTTTCAGACCAGCCTGGGAAAACATAGGGAGACTCCATCTCAAAAAAAAGACACTATCTCTTAAAAACTACTTCGAAATTTGCTGGGCGTGGTGATGTGTGCTTCAGGAGGTCACTGCACTTCAGCCTGGGTAACAGAGCAAGACACTGTCTGAAAGTTAAAAAAAAAGAAAAAAAGGGAAAGGAAAAAAGAATATATTCATGTGTTGTAGTGTTGTAGTCAATTAATTTAAGGCTCTTTTCCTGTTTTAGGTTTCTACCATGAATGAAATGAAGAGTTATTCTCAAGCTGTCACAGGAGTGAGTTTTTTTAAATCCTTTTAACCTTCTAGGAATAGTTGTGTTTTGTTTTGTTTTCCTTTTAAATCTGGCTTGTGTCATCACTGCTTTAAGATAACCAGATGTCTCACTGGGACATCTCCCTCAAATTTGTTATATTTGTCAAAGGTAAGAATAACTCAGTGTTTGGCCAGGCACCGTGGATCACGCCTGTGATCCTAGCACTTTGGGAGGGTGAGGTGGGCGGATCACCTGAGGTCAGGAGTTCGAGACCAGCCTGGCCAACGTGGTGAGTCCCCGTCTCTACTGAAAATACTAAAATTATCCAAGCGTGGTGGTGCATGCCTATAATCCCAGCTACTCAGGAGGCTGAGGCAGGAGAATTGCTGGAACCTGGGACACGGAGGCTGCAATGAGCTGAGATCACGCCACTGCACTTCAGCCTGGGCGACAGAGCGAGACTCCATCTCAAAGAAAAAAGAGAGAATAACTAAGTTTTCGAAGGAACAACAGACTCACATGTGAAAATAGAGGGAATAAGGCAGAGCCCCTGCCTCACATCCTGCATGGTTTGGTACTGCTCAGGTTCATAGTGGGTGTGCCTTTCCTCCTAAATAATATTGTTCAGGCCAGACATGGTGGTTCACGCCTGTAAACCCAGCACTTTGGGAGGCCAAGGAAGGAGGATCACTTGAGGCCAAGAGTTCAAGACCAGCCTGGGCAACTGAGCAAGACCCCATTTCTACAAAAGTTAAAAAAAAAAAAAAAAAAGTAGCTGGGGCGGGCGCGGTGGCTCACTCCTGTGATCCCAGCACTTTGGGAGGCTGAGGTCGGGAGTTGGACACCAGCCTGGCCAACTTGGAGAAATCTCGTCTCTACTAAAACTACAAAATTTGCTGGGCATGGTGGTGCCTGCCTGTAATCCCAGCTACTCGGGAGGCTAAGGCAGGAGAATTGCTTGAACCCAGGCGGCAGAGGTTGCAGTGAGCCAGTATTGCGCCATTGCACTCCAGCCTGGGCAACAAGAGCGAAACTCTGTCTCTTAAAAAGAAAAAAAAAGAAAAGTAGCCAGGCATGGTGGCGTGCACCTATAGTCCCAGCTACTCAGGATCAGAGAAGTCTTCTAGCCTTTTATTAAAATGTTGGATGCCGTGGTGTGTTAAGAGGAAGAATTATCTCCAGGCTCAAAACTGTAACTGTTGTCTTTCCAGGGTATTGAGAAAGCGAGACAAGTGTTAGAGTGTCTCACCGCAGTGGCACTAGGCCCTTAAGGTAAAAGAAAGGAGAATAAAGACTAGGAATGATCTAATAACAGCTGCCTTGTTTCCATTTTACAGTTTTTTGCGAGTATGTTGACCTATCCCTTTGTGCTTGTCTCCAATCTTATGGCTGTCAACAACTGTGGGTAAGTACTTTGTATTTCTTATTCTAGTAGGTGGCTGACTGTATGCTGACAGGTGGAGCAGCCTTGTAGAAATTTAGGAAAGATGAAAGACCAGTGTCAATCTCTGATTGGTATTTTTTTAAAAAAGCAGGGAGGAAAAGTATAATTGAGATTCCTAATTTTTTTCTCTGTATGCCCTATGAAGCAGCAGCCTCAATTTGTATTTATTTAGTAATTATTATTATTTTTGTTTTATGTATTTATTTTTTTGAGACAGAGTCTTGCTCTGTTGCCCAGGCTGGAATGCAATAGCACGATCTCGCCTCACTGTGACCTCCACCTCCTGGGTTCAAGTGATTCTCCTGTCTCAGCCTCCCGAATAGCTGGGATTACAGACATGCGCCACTATGCCCGGCTAATATTTTTGTATTTTTGGTAGAGACAGGGTTTGACCATGTTGGCCAGGCTGGTCTTGAACTCCTGACCTCAAGTGATCCACCTGCCTCGGCCTACCAAAGTGCTGGGATTACAGGCATAAGCCACCATGCCAGTCCAATTACTATTATTTTTATAGTTTTTTTGTGGGTTTTTTTGTGTGTGTGCTTTGTTGTTGTTGTTGTTGTTGTTGTGTGTTTTTGGTTTTTTTGTTTGTTTTTGAGACAGAATCTCACTCTGTCACCCAGGCTGGAGTGCAGTGGTGCAGTCTCGCTTCATTGCAACATACACCTCCTGGATTCAAGCAGTTCTTGTGCCTCAGCTTCCCAAGAAGCTGTGATTACAGGCATGTGCCACCATGCTGGGCTAATTTTTGCATTTTTAGTAGAGACAGAGTCTCGCTATGTTGGCCAGACTGGTCCCGAACTCCTGACCTCAGGTTATCTCGGACTTCCAAAGTGCTGGAATTACAGGCATGAGCCACTGCATCTGGCCTATTTTTATTTATTTTTAATTTTTTTAGAGATAGGGCTGCAGTGTGGTGGTGAAGTCCTAGCTCACTGCAGCCTCGAACTCCTGAGCTCAAGTGATCCTCCTATCTCAGCTTCCCAAGTAGTTGGGAGTACATGTGCATGCCACCATGCCTGGCTAATAATTTTTTGTGGAGACACAGGGTCTCACTTTGTTGCCCAGGCTGGTCTTAAATTTCTAGGCTCAAGTGATTCTCCTTCCTCGGCCTCTTAAGGTGCTGAGATTATAGGGGTGAGCCACCATGCGCAGCCAGCATGTTGTTTTTTTTAAATCTTTATCTTCTTTTCTATGAAAGTGACAAAAGGTGTATCAGGGATTAAATGACAACCCATACCTGTTTTTCCTGGGGCTTTATGGAGAAAGTGAGTTTTAAAGAACCAGAATTAGGATATTTGGTCTATGGAAAGCTTGATGACCTTTTCTCTGTATTGGTTAGAAGGGCAGGTGTTGGTATAGTGGTAGACTCCATTGATGTCCAAATTCTAGATGCCCAGTGACTCTACTGAGTTGAGCAAAATTTTGCCTTTTTTTTTTTTTTTTTTTTTTTTTGAGATGGTGTCCCTCTCTTGCCCAGGCTGTAGTGCAGTGGTGCAATCTCAACTCACTGCAACCTCCACCTCCCAGGTTCAAGCAATTCTCCTGCCTCAGCCTCCTGAGTAGCTGGGATTACAGACGTCCACCAGCATGCCTGGATAATTTTTTGTATTTTGTTGTTGTTGTTATTGTTGAGGTAGAGTCTTGCTCTGTTGCTCAGGCTGGAGTGTGGTGGTGCAATCTTGGCTCACTGCATTCTCCATCTCCCGGGTTCAAGCAATTCTCCTGCCTCAGCCTCCTGAGTAGCTGGGATTATAGGCACTTGCCACCACCCCCAGCTAATTTTTGTATTTCTGGTAGAGATGGGGTTTCACTATGTTGACCATGCTGGTCTCGAACTCCTGACTTCAGGTGGTCCGCCCACCTCGGCGTCCTAAATTGCTGGGATTATAGGCGTGAGCCACCGCACCTGGCCTTTCCTTTTTTATTTAATTCAGAATTCTTTTCCCATGTGGTACCTGACATATCATTAAACATGTTACTGTTTTCAAATAAGATCAGATAGCTATGTGGAGTTTTGAACATTTTACATTGTTTGTTTTCTGGTTTTGTTTGTTTCCTGTTACTCCTGGCAAGCTGTGATGTTTTCTGATATGTAGAGCAACTGCCATGTTTTAGCACAGTGCAAACTTGAAGGATGAATTAAATGTATTGTTATTATTTACAGTTTTTTTCAAGATGAAGCGATTATACCTGAGTGGGAACATATATATATCCACTGTTCATATCCGTTTTCATGTTTAGTTTCTTTGTGAACACCAGTTAGTTTTTAAATCCCCTTTCCCTGCCCCCCCTTTTTTTTTTCTGAGACTGGTTCTTACTCTGTCACCCAGGCTGGAGTGCAGTAGCACGATCTTGGCTCACTGCAACTTCCGCCTCCTGGGTTCAAGCAATTCACATGCCTTAGCCTCCCAAGTAGCCAAGATTACAGGCGTGCGCCACCATGCCGGCTCATGTTTTTGTATTTTTAATAGAGACGGGTTTCACCATGTTGGCCAGGCTGGTCTTGAACTCCTGACCTCAAATGATCCACCTGCCTCAGCCTACCAAAGAGCTGGAATTACAGGTGTGAGCCACCGTGCCCGGCCACCTTTCCCTGATCTTTAATCATGTAAATACTATGTTCTGGAGTTTCATTTGATTTGAAACCTAAACATAGGGGAGGAATTCTCTTCTGGATGCTTGATCTTTCCCCTGCTCCAATATGATTTGTTTCATTGAACTAAAATGATCTCTCAGGGAATCTTCTATGCAGGAGAATATTTTGACAAGCTTTATCAATGTCTCGAATGTTTGGTTAATATTAACATGAAGAGCTCCATGTTTTTTTCTATTTTAGTCTTGCTGGTGGATGCCCTCCTTACTCCCCAATATATACGTCTTGGATAGATTGTTGGTGCATGCTACAAAAAGAGGTATTTCTTTTTCTCTGTCTCTCTCATTTTATTTTGTTTTATTTTTATTTGTTTGTTTTCTTAAATACTGTCTCTGCAATCCCAAGTTAACTCTTGTAGCTCATTCTAGCTCGAGTGAGTGAGTCAGTCTAGTCTGCCAGTTAATGTACACTTCACAGTGTTTTGTGTTTCACTTTGGCATAATAGTAAAATGTGCTATTTAGAAATCATGAGCAGGAGTAATGAAGAAGAAAGAATCCCTAGATGAGACCTAGAAGCCATTTGAGTGCCCGCATGCAACTTATAAATACGATCCGAGTAGATTATTATCATGGTCAAATGATGCCTTCATTTTAGACTTTTTTCCCCAAACTCACTTTTCATAACAATTATTTGTCACAGTGGTATTGGCAGAGCTGGTCTCCTACTTCTAGAGTTTTGTTAGTGGATGGTTTTTGCCTAGATACCAATTTAGGGTTTGTTATTACTATGAGGTGTATAATCTGCAACAAAAACGTTCTTTATTATCTAGGCAAAGCTTTATTGGAAAATAAAATAATGGGCTGGGTGCAGTGGTTCACGCTTGTAATTCTAGCACTTCGAGAGGCGTAGGTGGGCAAATTGCTTGAGCCTAGGAGTTGGAGACCAGCTGAGGTAACATGATGAGACCTCATCGCTACAGAAAATACAAAAACTTAGCCAGGCATAGCACCTGTAGTCCCAGCTACCCGGGAGGCTGAGGTGGGAGGATCACCTGAGCTCAGGAGGTCAAGGCTGCAGTGAGCCAAGATTGCACCACTGCACTTCAGCCTGGGTGACAGAGTGAGACCCTGTATCCAAAAAAAGAAAAATAAAATAACAGCTAGGTATGATGGCTCACGCCTATAGTTCCAGTTACTCAGGAGGCTGAGCCAGGAGGATCACATGAGTCCTGGAGTTTGAGGCCAGCCTGGGCAACACAGCCAGACATATCTCTTAACAAAAAACTACAGGCCAGGTACAGTGGCTCATGGCTGTAATCCCAGCACTTTGGGAGGCCAAGGCGGGGGCAGATCACTTGAGGTCAGGAGTTTGAGACCAGCCTGGGCAACACAGTGAAACCCCATCTCTACTAAAATACAAAAGAAATTAGCCAGGCGTGGCAGTGTGCGCCTGTAGTCCCAGCTACTGGGGAGGGTGAGGCAAGAGAATTGCTTTAACCAGGAGGTGGAGGTTGCAGTGAACCGAGATCGTGCCACTGCACTCCAGTCTGGGTGATAGAGTGAGACTCTATCTCAAAAAAAAAAAAAAAAAAAAAAAAGACAATAACAACAACAAATGAATTGACTGTGGGCTAAATTTAGCACGGGATCACTTAAAATGGCCATCAGTTTAAAGTTGTTTTTGAAGGGGGTCCACTGATTAAAGGACTGCAGAAGAAAGTGTATGAAGAAGCTCTTTGTTGCATTATTTTATAGCACTAGTGATACATAAGAGAAAGGCCTTTGAAATCTGAATGAAAGGGCCTAAGTGTTGTTTGTAGTTGCTCTTGCTTAGTGTGCCCACAAAGCCCCTCTGTGAATCCAAGCTAGAATACTTGAATGATTTCAGAACAGACCTACCATGAACATTGTGCGTTTCATTCTGAGTTTTACTCTCTATTGTACAGTGTGGTCCCTGTTTAAATGGAAAAAATGGCCTTTCCTTCCTTCCTTTTCTGACTAACCCCCGTGATAGGAAGAAAGCAGACAGAGAATGGATTAGGGTGTCTAACACACTTGACCTAGAAACAGTTGTTCCTGTAGGTGCTTACGACAACAGCAAATCTTGATTGGGCATTTACTGTATACCAGATATCATGCTAAGAGCTTTTCTTACATCAGCTCATGTAATCCTCAAAACAGCTCTGTGAGGATAGGTGTCATTCTTATCACCCATTTCACATATGAAGAAACTGGGGCTTAGAGTAGTTTAGTGCCAATTATATAACCCAAGGTCACATGACTTATATTTGGGAAGGCTCAGATTTATACTCCAGAGTGTACTCAGTTGCACTCAGAACATTATTACTTTATTTTTATTTACTTATTTGGTTTTTTATTTTTTAGAGACAAGCTCTGTCACCCAGGCTGGTGTGCAGTGGTGGCTTCACGACTCACTGCAGCCTCAAACTCCTGGAGTAAAGCAGTCCTCCTACCTCAGCCTCCCAAGTAACTAGGACTACAGGCATACTGCCACCATGTCCTGTTAATTGTTTTGTTTTGTTTTGTTTTGAGACAGGATCTTACTCTGTCACCCAGGCTGGAGTGCAGTGGCATGATCTTGGCTCACTGCAACCTCTGTCTCCCGGCTGAAGTCTTTGGCTCAAGTGATCTTCCCACCTCAGCATCCCAAGTATCTGGGACTACAGGCATACACCACCAAGCCCAGCTCATTTTTTTTTTTTTTGAGACAGAGGCTCGCTCTGTCACCCAGGCTGGAGTGCAATGGCGCAATCTCGGCTCACTGCAACCTCCACCTCCCAGGTTCAAGCGATTCTCCTGCCTCAGCCTCCCGAGTAGCTGGGATTACAGCCGCCCACCACTACGCCTGGCTAATTTTTGTATTTTTAGTAGAGACAGGGTTTCACCATGTTAGTCAGGCTGGTCTCAAACTCCTGACCTCAGGTGATCTGCCTGCCTCGGCCTCCCAAAGTGGTGAGATTACAGGTGTGAGCCACCATGCCTGGCCAATTGTTTGTATTTTTGTAGCAATGGGGTTTCACCATGTTGTGCAGGCTGGTCTCAAATTCCTGAGCTCAAGTGATCCTCCTGCCTTGGTCTCTCAAAATGCTAGGAATACCAGTGTAAGCCATTGCACCGGCCTTTAATTTTTTAATTTCTTGTAGAGATAGGGTCTTGCTGTGTTGTCCAGGTTATTACTTTGATTATAAGATTTTATAAGTAGTCCTTAGAAACATGATTTCATTTCATTAAGAAATAAATAGGCCAGGTACAGTGGATCACACCTGTAATCCTAGCACTTTTGGGAGGCCAAGATGGGCAGATCACTTGAGGTCAGGAGTTCAAGACCAGCCTGGCCAATATGGTAAAACCCCACCTCCACTAAAAATACAAAAATTAGCCAGGCATGGTGGTGCGTTCCTGTGCCAGCTACTCAGGAGGCCGAGGCAGGAGAATCGGTTGAACCTGGGAGGCAGAGGTTGCAGTGAGCCGAGATTGCACCACTGCACTACGGCTTGGGCAACAGAGCGAGACTCCATCTCAAAAAAGAGAAACAAAGAAATAAATGAAAGCTAGCACTTACTGAATGTTAGGCACTGTTCTACATGACTCATTTGCTAAGCCAGCTGGAAAGTGGCAAAGCCAGAATCCAACCTGGGCATTCTGTCTGCCCAGAGTAAGACTTTATTAAGGAGAAATTGTGGTTAGTTCATAGTAGCTCAGCCTCTCAAAGAATACAAATCCCTGTTCTGTAGTGATAGTCCCAGTTTTGTCCTAGATTTATTCACGTCTCCCAGTCGGACCTCTCTGCTGATTTGGATTGGCTGATCTCATCTCGCTAGATATTATTTGTGTTTTGTTTTGTTTTCCAGGGGAATATGAGCCGAGGAAATAGCTTGTTTTTCCGGAAGGTCCCCTTTGGGAAGACTTATTGTTGTGACCTGAAAATGTTAATTTGAAGATGTGGGGCAGGGACAGTGACATTTCTGTAGTCCCAGATGCACAGAATTATGGGAGAGAATGTTGATTTCTATACAGTGTGGCGCGCTTTTTTAATAATCATTTAATCTTGGGAAAATTGAGGTGTTTGGTGTCTGCCTTTTTTGTTCTTTTTTCCAGCACAACATAACTTACCACTGATAATCCCCCTTTAGTTATTCTGAATTAGGATATTTTTGCTCCAAATTCTTATTTTACTTAACCAGAAGGGAAAAAAAAGTTGTATTTTCCTGAAGCTACAGGCACTTTGTCATGTGATTTTTGAGTCTCAATTTAAGGCTTTGTAAAATGAAGAGTAGAATTCCAAGAAGAATGAGAAATAATTCTGTAAAACTTGACAAAATCACTAAATTAAACTATATGGGAGGTTATGAATTACCTTTTCTTAGGTAGACCCTAAAAAGTCAGTAGCTCGCACCAGAATCTGACTCCCATTATGCTTCTAAGCACATTTCATTGACCTTGTCTCTCATACTTCAAGAAAAGGACAGTACGTGGCTACATTATCCTAGAAAGTCTGTGTGAGGATCTACCCCTTCAGTCTGTTTTTGCAGAGTAATAAAATGTCACCGACAGGGAGCCTCTGAGCCTACTCTAGTTCAACAGGCTGCCTAAAAAAAATAAATAAGATAAAGGGTCAGCAACAACAAAGAAAAAGGACAATTACAGAAAATAAGCAAGATTTGGAAAGGAAGTATAATGGCATTTTTTTCTCAAAGGAAGTTCTTGTTTTCACGTCAAATACGAAAAGTAGATCCTGCAGGAGTAATCCCCTTCTTTAAGAGCCAAGTATTTGCCCGTGCTTAAATTACACCATACAGTTCTAATTGTATATAATCTTTTGTTCTTCAGTTTTTTGTTTTGTTTCCTTTTTGTTATTGTTGCCGAAGGTGAGTAGTTTTGCATTTCTGATGACAGCCTTGGAAAGTATATTTGTAACTCCATGTCTGGTAATGCCAACCCAAGTCCATATGGGTCTTAGGACACTGACCGCCTCACATGCCATACCCTCAGTTAAGCATGTTAACATTTATAGGAGGAAAAAAAATCACTTTAGGAGAAAATAAAATTCAACTCAAGCATAAAGCTTCTATTTACTCAGGCCTTTTAAAAAGCAGGTTAAAATGCTCTAAAATGAGAAAGCCTGTGGTTTCACTTATTTATATAATTCACTGGGACATTGCCAAATGAGTAAGCACTTAATTTGCTGCTTCTGAGACTTCTCTATCAAAACAGCCCCACTAATAATGTTAGAATGAGAATGCAGGGGTCTCTTCCCCCCCCCCGCCCCCGGGTTTAGGAAGCTCATGAGGAGCTCGGCTTAAAATGTCTTTGATGTCTCTTCCTTTGTCTCAAAAAGTAATGTCAATTTTATATACTATTCAATATTACTATCTGCATTTGTTTTAATATAAAAATGCTTGCTGCCTACCTTTTTCTCCCAAAAAATCTTTAAGTAAAGATGATCTGGGAAAATGTGCCATGTTTATCCTGTGGCTTCTGTGAACTTTCATGCTTGCCTATTCATAGTTGAGAAGCATGTCTGACTCTGATAACCAGGCTACCACCAGAGGACGCCAAGGCTTCAGTTTTGCCTGTGCAAGTTGGGTGGCTAAGAAATTTCTTCAAGGCGTAGCATTGCTCAAAATACTAGTCCAGCTGTTTCAGCCTTGCTGCATCCAAGCTAGAGGCCTAGTCAGAGTCTTATACCTGTGATCCTCCATAATATCTTACTATAAGCTATTAGCATAAAAGTCTAAAGATATTCAGGGGCTAGGAAATGCAGGTAGGTGCTATTAAGAAACACATGTGCCCAGGCACGATGGCTCACGCCTGCAGTCACAGCACTTTGTGAGGCCGAGGCAGGCGGTTCACCTGAGGTCGGGAGTTCGAGACCAGCCTGACCAACATGGAAAACCCCCTGTCTCTACTAAAAATACAAAATTAGCGGGGCATGGTGGCACATGCCTGTAATCCCAGCTATGCGGGAGGCTGAGGCAGGAGAATCTCTTGAAACCAGGGAGGCAGAGGTTGCAGTGAGCCGAGATCACGCCATTGCACTCCAGCCTGGGCCACAAGAGCGAAACTCCATCTCAAAAAAAAAAAAAAAAAAAGAAACAGATGCAAGAAATAATTAACTCGGTAAATAACATGAACTTCGGCTGGTTGTGATGGCCCATACCTGTAATCCTAACACTTTGGGAGACTGAGGCAGGCGGATCACTTGAGGCCAAGAGTTCAAGACAAGCTTGACCAATATATCTACTAAAAATACAAAACAATTAGGCATGGTGGCACACACCTGTAGTTCCAGCTACTCAGGAGGCTGAGGCAGGAGAATCGCTTGAACCTGGGAGCTGCAGGTTGCAGTGAGCCAAGATTGTGCCACTGGACAACAGAGTGAGACTGTCTCTTTAAAAAAAAAAAAAAGTAGGGGTTCTTTAGTAAGCCACTTGTGAAACTGCTTTTCCTTGGTGGTACCAAGCTAAGTTGCCACAAACTGTTCCTCTAGAGTATATGATGACCATTGAAACCTTGACTTAAGAGTGTGGGGTGGGCTGGGGGCAGTGGATCACTTGAGTCCAGGAGCTCAAGACCAGCCTGGGCAACATGGCGAAACCCTGTCTCTTAATTTTTTATTTTTAGATGGAGTTTTGCTCTGTCACCCAGACTGGAGTGCAATGGCACCATCTTGGCTCACTGCAACCTCCGCCTCCCAGGTTCAGACAATTCTCTAGCCTCAGCCTCCTGAGTAGCTGGGATTACAAGCATGCACCATCACACCCGGCTAATTTTGTATTTTTAGTAGAGACAGGGTTTCACCATGTTGGTCAGGCTGGTCTCAAACTCCTGACCTCATGTGATCCGCCCGCCTGGGCCTCCCAAAGTGCTGTGATAACAGGTGTGAGCCACTGCGCCTGGCCCTCATCTCTATTTAAAAAAATAAAAGAAAGGGAGGAAAATTAGCTGGGCGTGGTGGCACATGTCTGTAATCCCAGCTACTCAGGAGGCTGAGGCATTAGAATCGCTTGAACCCAGGAGGCAGAGGTTGTGGTGAGCTGAGATCGCGCCATTGCACTCCAGCCTAGGCAACAAGAGTGAAACTCCATCTTATGAATAAAGCGTGTGTTTCCTGGAACTTTGGGGGATCATTATAAAAATACTATGGTAAAAAAGCAACCTTAGTAATCCCAGCATTTTGGGAGGCTGAGGCAGGTGGATCACGAGATCAGGAGTTTGAGACCAGCCTGACCAACATGGTGAAATCTGGTCTCTACTAAAAAAAAAAAAAATACAAAAATTAGCCAGGCGTGGTGGTGGGCGCCTGTAATCCCAGCTACTCAGGAGGCTGAGGCAGAAGAATCCCTTGAAACCGGAAGGTGGAGGTTGCAGTAAGCCGAGATTGCCCCACTCCTGGTCAACAAGAGTGAAACTACCTTTAAAAAAAAAAAAAAAAAAGAAGCAACCTTAGGATGAAAGAAACATCAAGCATAAGCCCTATATTCCATCATCTCTCTGTTACCTCAGCATACCTTGAATTAACTGTAATTTCCTATAGTGCCAGCTACACAGGAGGCTGAAGTGGGATGACTGGTTGAGTCCTGGCAGGTTGAGGCTGTAGTGACCTATGGTCCCACCGCAGCACTCCAGCCTAAGTGTCAACTGAGAGCCTGTCTCCAAAAAAAAAAAAAAAAAGAAAGCCTCACTGGGCTTTATAGAAAAACTAGTGGGGTCATGGCTAGTTTAAGTGCAGCAGTATTTGCAACGAGTCGATCACAGCCAGTTACAGATTTTTTTTTTCCTTTCTCCCCTTCCACTGCTTCACTTAGCCTTTAAAATGTATATTAAAATAAAAGGCTGGGCGCGGTGGCTCACACCTGTAATCCCAGCACTTTGGGAGGCCAAGGTGGGCAGATCATGTTAGGCGAGAAGTTCAAAACCAGCCTGGCTAACATGGTGAAACCCCAGCTCTACTAAAATTACAAAAGTTAGCTAGGTATGGAGGTGCACGCCTGTAATTCCGGCTACTTAGGAGACTGAAGCAGGAAAATCGCTGAAACCCAGGCGATGGAGGTTGCAATGAGCCAAGATTGTGGCAGTGCACTCCAGCCTGGACAACAGAGCAAGACTCTGTCTCAAAGAAAAAAAAAGAAAAGAGGCTGAGGCAGGAGAATTGCCTGAACCCGGGAGGCAGAGATTGCAGTGGGCAGAAATGGTGCCATTGCACTCCAGCCTGGGTGACAGACAAAACTCCATCTCAAAAAAAAAAAACTAGTTGGTCAAGTAGTAGTAATTGAAAATGGTCAGTTTAAGGTACTGTGGCAGGTAAGGGAGCAAGACAGGAGAACAGATTGGCTAGTAGTGACTGCCAAGCCTGTTGTAGAAGTTCTAATTTTCATGATTTTTTGGTGGGATCGGCATCCTCGTTTTAAGTGAGACTCTAATTGAGCAACTCACTCAAAATCATATAGCCAGGAATTTTCAGGGCTGAATTCAAACCAGGGTCTATCAAATTCCAAGGTTTTTTTTTTTTTTTCCCCTTAATAATTCTTCCAGAACATGAAGCCAGCTGAGGCATTTTTATTCTTTCATGAAGGCTATGAAGTGCTAAAATTGTAGCCAGTAAACCACATTGTGTTTTTTGTTTGTTTGTTTGTTTTTGAGACAAGGTCTCATTCTGTCACCCAGGCTGGAGTTCAGTGGCCGATCTCACTGCAACCTCCACCTCCTGGGTTCAAGTGATTCTCGTGCCTCAGTCTCCCGAGTAGCTGGGATTACAGGCGTCTGCCACCACCCACGGCTCATTTTTTTGTATTTTTAGTAGAGATAGGGTTTCACCATGTTGGCTAGGCTGGTCTTGAACTCCTGACCTCAAATGATCCTCCTGGGCTGCCCAAAGTGCTGTGATTACAGACGTGAGCCACTGTGCCCAGCCAAACCAAATGTTATGTAAACCATCCATCTGAGGAAAGTGGGCCTGCATTTGTAGTCAAAGCAGTGAACAAGCCTCCCAACAGAGTAGAATGGTCTTAAATAAGGAAAGACAGATCTTGCCTCTGCAGAATTATAAATAGCTGAAACAACTGAAAATAGAAATGATCACCATTACTTTTCTAGACTATTATGATGGTTTATGTAGATGAAAAGCTAAGTACTGTATGGCAAGGATTTCTTCCTAGAGAAGAAATCTTCCTAGAGGCACCATTAGTTCAGTGTACTGAACTCCTAGTACATTTGGCTGGCAACATTTCTTGAAACTGATCTATGTGTCAGCACCTCTACTGGGTGCTTCTAAAACATCCTTGCAGATTGGATGGGTTCATTCAGGCTGCCTCCCAAGGTGGTATGGTAGTTTCTATTTTGGGGTTTTTGTTTTTTTAAATACAGACAAAGATATTTGTCTTACCTCCTTTTCAGAGCTCTGTTTAGGCTTACCTAAAGAAGTCACAAGTACTGGGTGCAGTAGCTTATGCCTGTAATCCCAGCATTTTGTGGTTTTTGTTTTGTTTTGTTTTGTTTTTGAGACAGTCTCAAAAACCCTGTGCCCAGCCAATCCCAGCATTTTGGGAGGCTAAGGTGGGAGGAGCACTTGAGTTCTGGAGTTTGAGACCAGCCTAGACAACATAATGAGATCCTGTCTCTACTAAAAATAAAAAATAAAAGAATTAGCCAGGCATGGTGGCACACATCTGTAGTCCCAGCTATTTGGGAAGCTGGGGCCAGAGAATCACCTGCACCCAGGAGTTTGAGGCTGCAGTGAGCTATTATTGTGCCACTGCACTCCAGCCTGGGTGACAGAGCAAGATCTTGCCTCAAGGGAAAAAGAAAGTCACATGCGACATCTCATTTTATATTTTCCCCCTTCTATTCATCTCTCATCTTATTTTTCTCTTTAAAATTGAAAGGAGTCAGAATCTTGCCCTCTGATTTTTGCCCTGGAAGGGAAGTTGCTTTTACCACCAACCAAAAATTAGCTGCTGCTGCTTTTTTTTTTTTTTTTTTTTTTTTGAGACGGGGTCTCACTCTGGTTGCCCAGGCTGGACTGAAGTGTAGTGGTACAATCTCAGCTCACTGCAGCCTCCACTTCCCAAGCTCAGATGATTCTCCCACCTCAGCCTCCCAAGTAGCTGGGATTATAAGCATGTACCACCACATCTGGCTAATTTTTTTTTTTTTTTTTTTCTATTTTTAGTAGAGACAAGGTTTTGCTATATTGTTGCCCGGGCTGGTCTCGAACTCCTGGACTAAAGCCATCTGCCTACCTCAGCCTCCCAGAGTGCTGGGATGATTGGTGTAAGCCACTATGCCTGGCCAAAAAATAGTCTTCTTTTCAGGAGACTATCTTGGCTAAGAATGAGGATTAATTTTCTAAAGTGAGTGAAAGTTTTCCTTCTATCCAACCTTCCCCATATGACAGCTTCCTCATACATTTGCTATCTAGAGAGAGGTCCTAGGGAGGCCCCTTTCAGTGCATGAGT